ACCAGCAGTGAGCAAGTCAGGCCAACATCACAGCCTTTGTATGTTGCTCCAAGGCTTGGCTTTCTCATGTGTATCATGACACTCGAGGACCACACACTCGCTGGTGACAGCTCTGCAGCACTGCTACCGTGAGCTCTTCAGCCAGTGGCTACTGCATCGTGGTGTGGTCCAGCCTGTCAGCTCCTGCAGGGTGAAACCACTGGGCGGCAGGGGCAGGAGGGCAAGAGGAGCTGCTGGACTGCAGGGCCCAGCGAGGCAGTGGGGAGCTGTGCCTCATGCCGCCCTCGGCACTCGGCCAGCCCTCGCCCCCATGTGTGCAGGGGAGCTCTGGGAGGGAAGAGCCAGTGGGTACTCCTGTGCGCAGGACCCCAGGACGGCCACAGACCTGGAGCAATGCTGGACTGGGCATGAGCTGATGAGGTAGGCCCCTTTGTCAGCCCAGTTGCAGTGGGATGACGGGAGCAGGAGGTGGCACTGCTGGGTAAAAAAAGTAGATTTCACATGGTCGGTTTGTTATGCTCGCACTCTTCTTGCAGCAGCTATGCCTTACCAAGGGAAAAAACTGTCCAGGGTTTCATTCTAGTTCTCTGAAGACCGCTGGGAATCAGTGGCGATCCATTCACGAAATAAGGAAATGTACAGGCATACACAGCAAGGTGTAGTTCAGAACAGCTGTGGGGCCCAGACCCAGCTGGAAAGCAGCTTGGCAGAGAAGGACCTGGGGGTCCTGGTGGACACCAAATTGAACATGAGCCAGCAACATCCCCTTGCCGCAATGAAGGCTAATGGTATCCTGGGCTGCATTAGGCAAAGCGTTGCCAGCAGGTCGAGGGAGGGCATCCTTCCCCTCTACTTGGCACAGGTGAGGCCACACCTGGAGTGCTGTGTCCAGTGCTGGGCTCCCCAGTACAAGAGAGACATGGACATACTGGAGAGAGTCCAACAAAGGGCCACGAAGATGATGAAGGGACTGGAGTACCTCACAGCTGAGGATGAGGCTGAGAGAGCTGGGACTGTTCAGCCTGGAGAAGAGAAGGCTCGGGGGGGGATCTCATCAATGTGTATAACTACCTGAAGGGAGGGTACAAAGAAGATGGAGCCAGGCTCTTCCCAGTGGTGCCCAGTGACTGGACCAGAGGCAGTGGGCACAAACTGAAACACAGGAGGTTCTCTCAAACATCAGGAAACACTTTTTCACTCTGCAGGTGACTGAGCACTGGCACAGGTTGCCCAGGGAGGTTGTGGCGTCTCCATCCTTGGCGATATTCAAAAGCCACCTGGCCTCGGTCCTGGGCAGCTGGCTCCAGGTGTCCCTGCCTGAGCAGGCAGGTTGGACCAGATGACCTCCAGAGGTCCCTTCCAACCTCAGCCATTCTGTGATTCTGTGAAACACACCTTTTACAATTTTAGGTACAGAAAGGGTCTGATACTGATGAGTGCTGAGACCTTTCTGCTTCAACAAGAAGCGCTAAAACTTGGCACCTACAGAACCAGACCTAAAAAAAGGAGGTTCATTCAGACTACAAATGCCTTTGCCCTGTTTAGCTGAGAGTCTTGGCTGTTGCCAGCCTGTGCTATATACATTTCGGCCTGGGTCAGGCTCTGAGTGGGAGGGGGAATGACTTTCCATGAAAGCTGCTGTGGTATTGATTCCTGAGCTGAGCACTGAAGGGCTGAAGAACCCCAGCAAAGTGCTGAAATGACAAGGAGCTGAGGGAGTTCAGCACAACCTGGATCAGGCTCTCAGTAGCAGAAAGTCACTTGGCAGTGTCCTTCCTTGCCTTTGCTACTGTGAAATGCTTGAACAAATGTAAACAGTTTGCAAAGCAAGAAAATAATGTCTCATTTGTAAGCCAAAGCAAATAATAAAAGGAGAGTCTGTCCCAGAGATACTGCATTTGGTCTTCTCCGGCAAACACCACAGAACATCATCAATTTGGAATTAACACATTTCCCTCTGGTTCCCCTGCTATGGAGTGGGACAGGATACCAAGGGAGGGGGAATGGTGGGAGTACCACAGGAGCTGTTGTGCTGGTGAAATAGAGATTGGGAACTAGACCCAGCCACTGAAAAGAAAAAGGGAGACAAATTTTAGGCCCTACCAAAATCTCCTGTTTTATCTTTCATCCTAAGAGTGCCTTTCCAAATCCTGCACCCAGTGGTCACAGGTTCTCAAAAGCTCTTTCTTTTTGTCCCTATCTTATCTTGGCCAGGCACTGATTTGCCTAATTCTAGTTGAGCTGCCATCTAATCAGTGTTGCATGTTAATCCCACAATATTACCTCCTTCCAGGAGGTAAGAAGGAAGATACTGTAGCCAACACCCTGCTGTGAAAAAAAACTGATGTAGATGCAGAGTAGCTTGCTTTCTTGCAGTATATGTTGAACAGAGCCTTTCACACTTAAAGAATCACACCCAAGCTGTTTAACCAGATTCACGCAAGAGTCACTACAGGTTGTTCAGGAGCACAGCTCTCTCTGGGGCTGAAGCAGCAGTCAGAGAAAGGGCTCATAGAATCATAGAATCATTGAGGTTGGAAAAGACCTCTAAGATCATCGAGTCCAACTATCAACCCAACACCACCACCCACTAAACCATGTCCCTAAGTGCCTCATCTACTCGTCTTTTAAATACCTCCAGGGATGGGGACTCAACCACTTCCCTGGGCAG